AAAAGGAGTTTACTTTTGGGACAACCTAATAATTGGTGCTCAAAAAATTGCAAAAAAATTTAAGTGATATTTCAGACGCCCCAACTAGATGATCACATAATAAATCGTTGTCCATTTGTTTTGGGAAATATGGTACCATGTAGCGCTTGTGGTATGGCTACAGACGCGACGGATGATGCTAATGGTATAGGACATCCGATGTGTAGAAGTACGTTGCTAAAAACGATTTTTTAGTCGTGGTTTATTTTTTCGCATTTCTGATCTATGCTTTAGAAAGACTTTCACCCAGTGGCGCTCGTTGGTGTCCATTATGCGCAGTTGCTGTTGACGACAACAAAGAGGTGCGTGGAAAATTGGACTCACTAATGTAGTTGGCAAAAATCCAGAATTTCAGGCCTGGAAGACCCATCTCTCCAAGCAGTGCTACAACAATCCCCGAAAAAATGGACCTGATCTGGAAGTGGATACTGCCCCGCGAATCCCAGAAAAGACTCGTCCGTAAGTAGGGTTCTTGAAGTTTCTCTCATGCCTTCTCTAACTCAAACTTGAGAATGACGAAAAATTGTTGGAATTCAGATAAGGGAAATCTTGAATTTTCAGGAATTCCTCAGCATCAACAAAAGCAGTCAGCGGTGCCCGATTGATAGATGCCGATAAACTCGTGGCAGCCTTACAGGTAAAGTCCTTCTTCTAGAAGTTCTCAGCATTCTCAACTTCTCAGTAAGACTCAGTTGAATCAATAATAGCTATGATCTATGGCTATCCACTTCTGGAAAATTCTGAAATTTCAAAAACCATAGACTTCTCGATAAAAAAATTCTTGAACAGGCTGGCGGAAAAGTTTCTAGGCGTCTAACGTAGCCTAGTTGCGTAGGGGAACTGATATCGTCGTTAGGCGCTAATTAGTTAGTTTTACGCGCGACAGTTCCCTTCGCGCATGCTCTTACATGCCGTATGAGGACCAGTAGTCCGCGAAGGCGGCGTGGTACATGATGTTGACTTCATACAGTGCTCTTATCGTAGATCTAATTTCAAATTTGTGTGTCGCAAAAAACAGCGCTAACTGAAAGTTCAAACTCCAATCAATAAATTGATTTTTAGGAAGTACAACTGCGTAAAAAACAGGAATCAAAGAAGAAGACACCGGCGACGGACAAAGAAGAGCCAGCCACAGCAGCAACGAAATGATGGACCGTACGAGAAAATTTTCTCGGAGTTCAATGAATCTCCTACCTTTATGACTAACCAAACGGCAGCGCAAGCTTGTCTCGGCAAAAAAATTACCCTCTTCTATTTGTTTTCTCATTTGTGCTTCAGAGCAGTGTAGCTGTGATACTAACAAATCGAATTCTGTCTAATCACTTTATCATTAAGCGTAGCTTTTTTGTAGACATATTGTTTTAATTTTCTATCATGAGATCAGATCAGTCAGTCAGTAAGTTAAGCGTAGAATTCTTCCGGTGCACCGCCTTTGAGTTTCAGCATCACATTCTTGATGGCTTTTTCGAAATCATCAGCACACACGACTTTTCTTTGAGCACGCAGGGCCAGCATACCTGCTTCAGTGCAGACTGCCTGTAACTACCTCGGTATAAGCTGCAAAATTTGATGTCAAGCCACGCCCAATCGATGGATGGGGCGTGGTTTGTCATTTTACAAAGATATGTTGTAAATGACCTTGATCTCAGCTCCAGACATTTCTTTTTCCTTTGACATCACCAAATCGAATGTCACGTCTTTTGCCAAATTCATTCCTGATGTGTGAATCTTGAAATAAACATATTCGGCACTATTTAACATTTTGGAAGTATGCAGTCTACCGAAAAAATTCTCTGCCTTGTCTTATCATCTGGTTTCGGTAACTCGATTTTTCTGTCAATTCGTCCAGGACGTAGAAGCGCTGAGTCGAGAACGTCTATACGATTTGTGGCCAGAATAACCTGAGCGAGAAAATGCTTAATCATCGAAAAATTAGAGCCTTTAGTACCTTTACATCTCCTCTGCTCTCAAAACCATCGAGTTGGTTCAACAGTTCTAATAGTGTACGTTGGACCTGAAATCAAAATTTCTCGTCGTTCAGCTATTCTGTTGTATAATTGTGGCGTAGTGGTGCGCGGACGTGGCGTGATTGCGGACCTCTGCGTCTCTGCTTGTGAAGTCGGAAAGACAACATGCTCGGTGGAGACGCAGACGACGAGAGCGTTATAAGCGAATTTTGCACGTTTTGACAAGTTTAAGAGGAGGGAAAATGCGCTCGACGTGTTAAGACAAGTCAAAAAGGGTGTAGGATACTGTAGTGCAAAATGCCCGTGCGGGGAAAGTGGATACTAAGAGCGTACTCGGTAACTCCAGTAACCCCATGGACCATGCAAATGAGAATTTACCTCTTGCTCTCCCCTGCTCGATGTATCATATCGTTTCGTCCCTACCGCGTCGATTTCATCCAAAAACACAATGGAAGGCGCGTTATCTCTGGCCATTTTGAAAAGTTCCCTATAATGTAGCGGTCATTCATTCCTATTCAGGGCAGCTGAGAACCGCACCTAACGAGCTTTGCACCATCACCCGAGTTTTTCTGCACCAAATCTGCGCCAGTCGCCCGAATAAATGTTGCCGCTGTGGAATTTGCGACAGCTTTGGCCAGTAGGGTCTTTCCTAAGATTATGCAGTTGGCGATGTTGATTATAGCTCATTTTTCGGTTCCAGCCGAACCTGTGCCAGGTGGGCCATAGAGTATGACGCCTTTTGGAGCCGTGATACCCATCTCTTCATAATACTCCGGATGAGTGAGAGGAAGTTCCACGGACTCTTTCATTTCCTGGATTGGTCCCTCGAGGCCTCCGATATCCTAGACTTTTCCGATTCTTGTGGCTTTTCATATCTCCCATTAGGAACTAACCTCGAACGTTTCTTTTGGCGGTTTGTCTAATTTATGCCCTAAAGCACTCGAATCTATTGTATCTGGTAGTACTCCAACGATTGCTGTTGGCACATTTTTGAACATTCCGCTAGCTTTGACCATCACAAGCGCATTGAGGTGAAGGAGATCCTGAATAGTGCTTCGAATTGAACTATGCAAGTTCTTATGTTAGGCGAGAACTGGTCCCCGTGCACCATATACCCGAGCGCCGGATGGCATGCGACGCGTACTCCTAAAGCTTTGCATACTTCTAAAAACTTGTGCTGTCTTTTTATCACGAACGATTCACTTTGGTCTTCAATAGTGAAGAAGTTCGAACTTGTTGAAACATGAATGCATAGCGTCGAGTATACTGGCCCCATAGTGGATGATGCGCTCGCGGAGACCAGTTCTCGCACTGTCCACTCGACCCTTACCTTATCCACGATAGACAAAATAGGAATGAACCATTCTCGTTTTGAACCCTCAACCACTACCACAGCATGCTAAAATGTCCACAGATTGTAATCGATCGACCAATGGAGATTCTCATTGTCAAAAGCTATCGTCGGCTCCCCGAGATAGATGGGACGTGTCGCTTCACAAGTCCGTGATTGTCCGTTGTTGATAC